GTTCGAGTCCTGAAAGGGCAATAAAATGAACGCACTGTTGACGAGTCCCAAACAGGAGGAAACAGTTGTCCAGTGCTCTTTTTCAGGTATCACAAACGTTTCTATTGCATGTAAATGCATGTAACTTTGGGGAATTAACGATCTCCTAAGGAGTGAAATCCACATTCAAGATCATCAAGAGTACCTGGTGCCTCTTAAACAATCGAATCCTAATCCAAGCTCGCTAACATAAAAATGTAACACACGTGGATTATCAGTTGTATGGTGTTCTTTTCGTTTGGACTCTACGAACGTGTTTTGCGAGTCAGTCAGTTAGTCAAACAGCCAATGGACTTTACTCGGGTTCAAACGGACTGAACATTCCAGCTGTATATCCTCAAGAAAATCTCCCGCGGGCGAGGGCACACAGAATTATTGGATAGCTCTCCTGGTGATAAAGGTGGCCGGATGCAATCCGGACTCAGAGCAAAGCAAAATTCACCGAGTAAGATATGTATACAGTTAAAGTCAAAGTCAAAGTTTTATTATGGGCATAACGTTCAAGCAGATGCTTTTCTTGTCCATAGGGTGTTTACGCGAATTGAACTGTAAAAATGATGAAGAAAATTCCATATGCTCTCTACGGTTGTATTATCTGCGCTCATGAATGTGTTGGAATGGAATGTTTGGTAATGATTCGTCAAGTTTTACCTTGAATAAATTAATCGTCTTGGCACAAACGACACGAGATGGTAAGTATTTCCAGGCAGTGCACACTCTAACGGCGAAGGTGTGACGTCGAAAGTCCAGTAGAGATATTTGGAGTAGTAACTTGAATGAATGGCCCGATAGATGAACATACGACGACAAGGAAAAAGTGGGCGACAAGGGTGATTTGGATTGTATAATAGTTGTTACACTGAAATAAAGTCTCCTCGAAGCCGACGATACTGCGCAGAGTATAGACCCAATGCCTACAGTCTCCCCAAGTATGAATCATTATGGAGTCCTGTGACCATTTTCGTGACGAGCTTTCGTGGACGCTCCAAAATCTTATGATCACATTGTAATCGTGGGTGCCAGGTTGGGATGGCATACTCAATATGCGGCTGCATGTATGCTGACAACAGACGTCCAAATAAAGATGGTTCAAAACGACCCAAAACACGTTTAAGTAGATCGACATGTTTGAGTGCTGTTGATGACGCCCTGAGACAGTTAATAAAACATCTCCGGTTTTTTGGATCATGAAACCCAAGTCCTTCTCTGTTGATGCATACGGCAATAGTTCGTTTCCGGGGAAATAAGTAAACCGACCCTGGTGGCCTAGCGAAATCAGCTTTGCAGACATTAAATTGGATGTCGTTCTCAATAGATCATTTGTGAGCTGCATTCAGTGTTTCTTGGAGTTCCAGCGAACCCTCACTTTCGGTCACTGTCTTCCAGTTAGTGCCGTCGTCTGCAAACAATATTGTTTGCGGTCCTCGGAAATTCGGTAAGACGTTTGTGAGCGAGAGAAAAAGTTGAGGACCAAGCACAGAATCCTGGGGGACTCCACGTGAAACGGCGCTAGGGGCGGACAGTGAATTAGAGACTCGAACCGATATGGACTGTTGTTGGAGAAACGCAGCAATCCAATCAAGCGCCAGTTCTCTGATACCAAAATTGTATAGTTAACGGAGCAGTATCTTGTGGTTCTCTCGATCGAACGCTTTAGAGAAGTCCATGTAAACCACATCGACTGCATCGCCTTTGTCTACTACGTTTATCCATTCATCGCGGGCCACAAGCAGATTGGTAGTACATGATCTCTTTTGATGGAATCCATGCTGAGCTGGAGAAAAGAGGTCGTATTTCTCCAAGTGTTCCATCGAGAAATGTGCTACGATGGATTCCATGACTTTGGATAGAACAGATGGGAGTGTTACTGGGAGGTGGTTGGCAGGATCACTACGACAGCGGCCTGTGTAAATTGGAGAAGTTATGCCGTTTTTCCACGATTGAGCAGCATGGTTGCGTCAAACGTCTTTTGGAGATGGACAGCTAGCGGCTCAGACATATGACGTGCCAACGAAATAAGCGTTCGGCTATGTAAATGAGCCGCACTAGGACTCGACTAATTACGTAGAACCAAAATCTTTGATTTCACTCAGTCGGCATCAAACGTGAAGATAGTCAGTGGTGTATTTGGAAGAAACAGTATTTGACGAGGTAACCGCTGTTTCGCGTTGCTGGGTGTCATAGACGTGGGCATATTGGTTTTTCAGCATCTCAGGTACTTATTGGGTGATACTGAAGACCGTTCCAAGTCAGATGAGTGAGGGTATCCCATACTTTGCTTTCCTCGACATATTGACATGTTTGAATAATAGTGACGGGTTGGAAATAAGCTTCCGTGGGACCGTTTTTTGGTACCTCAGGTTATCCTCCCGTACCAACTGGGTACAAAGGTTTCACAATTGTTGATATTTATTCCAGGGGCTGTCAGTTGGAAATCGATTGTATTCTTGCCAAAATCGATTTCGCAGAGGCATCCATTTCTTTGTGCGGTCGCGAATCGGCGAGTTTTGACCCTTGATTTTCTGGCAACCTTAGTAACTGAGGCGATCAACTTTGTTAGTCTGTCAATAAATGCTTGCCAAGTGACAAGTAGGTAACGTACGTCCCCAGGAAAGATCCACTGAGTGCAGTGAGCTAAATTCTGCAATCTAGTTTAATCCATGGTGAGACATGTATTGTTTTGCAGAGTTCTTTCTATCGAAGCGTAGCAGACGTATTTGAACGGCAATAATGCATGGTCACTGCGTCCTATAGGGAGGAAGACTTAGAGGAAAATGATCTCTTCTCACAGGCAAGTCATATGGTGCTACCGGAATCCGAAAAGCAGAATATCTGGGGAGTTGACGAATCTGTTTACACATTTTATGAATTAGACTGGAAACATTATTTAAACCGCAATAGTCACACACATGATGATCAATGTAATGGCTACTGTATTGTAATGGAAACTGAATAAAAACAGATGTGAATTAAAACATTTCAAATTCGTGATTGAAACAATTTGAGCAAATGTAATACACACATTCTTTCTTTTGTTTCATTGTCTTACCACAATTGAACGTGAGACGGACGAGTTCAATTCATTGCAATGTTTCAGCGGCCAGCCTTTCGTGCAGTCTGTTCCTCCGTGCGAGGGGACTAGCTGCTCTACACTCTTTCCCCAGCCGTAAAAACAAACCTGTTCCCGTTCCGCGTCTGGCAGACGAACTGCCACCAGCCCATGGGTGTGTCCCAATCCGACAGCAATCGGTGACCCCGGTAGAGACAGAGGACTGGGTTGAGGGCACACAGCTCGATCAAAGTCACGTCCCAGCTGATGATAGGTGTTATCTCCCCAGGTGTATATGCGACCGGACTCTTTTGAGATTTGAAAGGTGATAGCGGAGAAGATAAGACCAAATTTAATTTTTGTCGAATGATATGGAATAAATTATTTTATCCGCATAACTACTAAGAAGTTTTTGTTCTAAAGGATAGTTATTTCTGCTCCGTCAGCCTGTGCGTAAATGGACATGTGCCTTCTGCTTCCAGAACTCAAGCGTATCTAACTTCTGAAGAGCACTGCAGGGTTATTTCATTCATATCGAAAATTTTCACTAACTCTCATTCAATACGTATATTAATTTTCGATTCCAGACATCTTGAGGTTGTTCTCTTTAATAAGCATGATAAATTGGTCAACTGTATTGCTTTTTTCAGCGTGATATGATATGCTATGTCTTCCAGTCTTGTTTAATAATTCGCATTAGCTAATTCACAATCTGAATGCTGAAGAGTTTTGTAATATTGGTCACTTTTCAACCTGTAAATGCGATGGAAATCTTTGTGCGGAATTAATGAACTCCCGAAGAGTAAAACCCATACCCACGACCATCAACAGTGCGTGTGATGCATGTGGTGATGTCAAGATGCATGTGAAAAATGAATGAATAGTCAAATCCCAAGATGCACCATCGAAAAGACTGTCCAGCATATTCACTGCCTGCTGTATTTACCGGGAAATTTATCAAATGAGTATTACCTTACTTTATTCAAAATCGAAGTAACACTGTTTTTACTTTCCTTTCTTTTTCTTCTACTTCCTCTTATTGAATATACAAAGATACAATTTCCAGGAAGGGGGAAGCGGCCAATCCAAGGTCTGTCGTTCAACATGCACACAATGAGGAAAGTCAGGCGGTGGTGTTGGGATTCAAACACACATCTCCGGGGTGATAACTCGGTGACGTTCCTACCGGTAGCGTCCAGAAAAGTACTTCAATAGATTTTTGTGCAATTTTATAACCGAACTTGGCCTCTTGACGAACATTATCTTTCGTGAATAACGATACCGAACACACGTGATTATGATGGAAATAATAAACCAAATTTATGCGGTGAAAATTTGAATGATGACCGACAAGCATTACTGGCCAACTGTTGGGTCTTGTCCGGAACTATTCAGCAGCGCGCACTTTTAATGTGTCCGCGTCAGAACTCGAAACGCGCACGTTCGAATTGGGAGTTGTACTTTTACCTCTCAGCCCCACGGCTTAAGCTCTCACTGTGGTATCCCGTAGAAGCAAATAAATAAGCAAGTAGTGAATTAAGTAAAGCAAGCGGTGCTTCAGCATGTAGGCAGGTCAAACTGATTTTCAAATTACTTGACGAGAATATACCGTTGGAAACACTGACTAGCACGTTTAACTGAGCTCACGATGTGCTCAGTTTTACGTCAGAAATGTAAACGGCCAACACATTCCATTTTCTAGATGTTCATCTTACCAAGCGCTCGGACGGAACAATTAGTAGAGCAGTCTACTGTTCACTTGGACAGGCGAGTACAATCACTTTGCCAGGTTTGTACCTTGAGGCTTAAGAGAAACCTCGTCCGAATCCCGGCTGCTCGTATTAGCGATATATGTTCAGCAGACAACGTGGGGCCAGAATTGAACCGTCTAAAGTAGACAATATTGGACAATCGTTCTCTCGAGAGATCCATTCATTAGAATCTATGTGAAGCAACCGGAAAACCAACAGTGACTAGATTTAGCAAAAACATCTACATTCGTCTACTGTTCAAAGGCGACTGTAGACATGATTTGTTAACCAAATGCCTTGATAAGTCCATCGCTTAAACGTTTCCGTGACCAGTTTACGTACACAGTTTACAAGCTGATAAATTGCTGATCCGCACTTCTTCCATGTTGCCCCATTCTTCTGTTTGCTCATGTTCGGTCAGATACGTAGGCAGGACGATCAGACAGTTTTCTCAATGAATCAAGGAACATAAACCCGCTTGGTTGGGCACTAGAAGTACAATTACCATTTGGAGTGCAATCGCGACGCACCTCGTAAATATCGGACACCAGGTAAAGAAGATGCGTTCCAAATCGTTTACAAGGTTGTTGGTCTTGTTGTGTCGTTTGGAAGTGGTCATACTCGATGGATTGATTGACACAGACAACCCAGGAGTGCAGACCGGAAATGGGACAGCTCACTCAATCCATCGACTTTGAACATTTACAAACGACACAAAAACAACATCAAAAGCTCTTCCCTTTCGATTCCAAACCATGTGTCAACAGATCACAACCAACCAATCACATTCATCACATCAGACGATTACACTACAAACCGAGCTTGCTTACTACCTGTGTTCTTTTGCTATAGGTCACGGTGGGAATATTCAGAGTATTACGGAACCGTAAGGAAAGTCTGGTTGCGAAGAAACTAAATCGTTATTTGTGCTTCTAGACCAGACTTACCGATGCGAATACAGCCAACAGTTTTCGTTTGTTTTGTTTGAATGAAAGTAGGGTATGCCAACCGAGAGTAAACATTTGGTCTAAGACATAGGAGGCAGTGAGCGCCAGGGGGGAGNGGGGGGAGTGGTGCCTTCTGATTGAGAGAAGAATATTAGGCTGGTTAATGATGACCTTGTCCAATACAGCATCTCCTCTGGTGGGCGTTAGAGAGAGATCTGTTAGGCCTAAATAAAGTAAAGGTTATATCGATCCACGCTTAAAATCAACAAAAATTAAGATGAAGTGCGTTTTAAAATGAGCTGATTTCGATTTTCCAGCACAAGTGGGCAATTTTTGAGGTCGCCAATAACCGTGCTCTGAAAAGAGAAACCTAGGTCGACGTGAAACATCGAGGCAGTCAATACCGTAACAGTAGAAAGCAAACGTTTCCGACTTGCTGCACCAACTGGAGTTATTTTATGTTATTACCATCGCTTCCGGACTCGTTTTTCTTTTTTCTTTCTATTGTCGAAAGCTTGCAAAACCAGGTGTGTTACCCAGCAATTCCTCTATGTTTCAGTTTAACCACGATTCCTGTATGCATATCATACACGTGTTTGTGTGCACCAAGTAGGTTAGTATATCAGTAAGTTTAGGCAAATTGCTAACAGCGAGCGAATGTTGAAATTGACCAATGGGGGAACCGTCATTTTCACAGGAAGAATGTGCGCAAGAATGATCTTCCACTCGGCAAAATTGTGGTCTATGCAATCTAGACTTGGTCTAAAACCAGCCTAATCCTTACTTACTTACTTTCCTCACTACTGATGGCTCCTTGGAAAGGATAAGCCGGCTTTGATTGCCGCTGTGGGAGATATGATCATGAATTTACTTGGAAGTTTGGTACAAGAGAAGTCCCCAGAGTCACTCGGCGTTTTTTATTTTGAGGCCACACGTCTAACCTTTGCCTGATCAAGTGCGAGCTGCAAGGCAGCAGGAAGTAATCCCTCGCATCGGAGGCGAGGGTGTCAATGACTTGGGTCTTAAAAGACCAGTCACATCAATCTTTGTCATGACACCGTCATTGGACTTATGCGGCTTTTAAACAGGAGCCAGGTGACCAGCCTGAAATCCACCACATCATGGTAGTGCCGCCGCTGTTTGTTCCTAACTGCTTATCTGTTGCGGTATGTCACAACTTATTCACAGCTAACCTTCTTCGGTGAAGGTATCCCCCCATCCACAAACCGGGGACACGCCTGGTAGCATTCAGCTCTGCTTAACCCGAGGGTGAACGTGCACGTTCACGGTGGCAGATAACCGAAGGAGTCTGATGCAAGCGAGAAGCTTACGGACTATGTTTATCAAGCTTATGCACCGGAAGTTATCAAAAGGGGGTCTACCACCTTTCTAGTAAATCGGTTAGTTGACCGACTCACGCTATTCACTTGAACCCCTTTTGCTGTCCAATACCAAACCCCAGGAGTTTTGTCAACTCAAAAACCAACGATGAACCTCAATAGTTAAAAGCCGATTTGGACAGCCCATCCGACCTGGAGACCTTTGCTGAACGGAGATTAAAACTTTCTACTTGAAAACAATGCAGCCATTATCTATCTTATTGAGCAACTAATATTAGTTAGTCAAGTGAGTGATGGGGAATTTGATTCCACTTCAAATGGGAATTCCATTACTCATTTGAAACAAGTAGTCAGGTTGTGAATATTTCCAACCCTGGAGGCTATTGCTGAGATGCGCGAGTTCTGTGGCCTGCAACAAGCTCACAAATATGGGTTGTGTTATATCGTGTAAATGGAAAATAAAAAACGGTGTAGTCAGCTGCCCAGTGGCTGAGTAGCTAGTATGCTTCCATTCTGCCAGTTAGGTCCCGGGTTCGATCCCTAGTTGGGTTGATGGATGTGCGCACTGCTGGTGAGACCCAACCACGTCGAAACAGCTGTCCATCAGTGCTTCCTAGCTTTTCAGCTCACCCTTCATTTTCTATATACAGGATGAATTCCTATTTGTAATATTAGTTGACCACCCATTGCTTCGTCGTTTTCTCACCCCAGTGATAGATTGCAACCTGCATCAGATTACCAATGCTTGGAATACAGCGGTACAGAATGCGGACATTAGGTTTCATGATAAATGTCTGTGGTAAACAGGGACGAGAACACACGGTATGTAAACGATCCATAATCACAGTCTGACTGAGAAGCATTTGTGGGAGCAACACGCGGACAAGTAACGGATCGAATAGCATCACGTATAAAAAGCGAAAGCCTAAAACAATCAGGTTGAATTACTGTATTAAAACTTACTGGTTAGAACTGCAGAATGATTTCCTTTAGCGTAAACCTGTTTCAACTCATCGCCTTTGAGGCAAACCATCGAGAGTTTCCGGGGACGCAAACACTTCATGGACGAGTCAATAAATCCCAGTTGTCCCCGATCACTTGCACCACAACCGTAGATTTCATTCTCTTCTGAACCGACCAGGAAAATATACGGAAATCGCGCAGGATTTTTATCGATAAGTGCAATCAACTTCAAAATATAGTAAATTTATTTTCCTGACCATTTAGTTATACAGACTCAGCCGTCAAATGTCACACACCCTTGGAAAGTCGCAATTAGAAAAGTGCTCACATAAGTCCCCATAACTATTCAAAACATGTTGTGATGTAACACGTGATAAAATGTTCGGGTGGTAAAATCAATCTCTACCAATCTCGAGCATTTTTTGTTGGTTGTGTAGTATATAAATATAACTAAGAAAGCAACCATCTCATGTGTCAGCTGAGAAAATATGTGCACAATTTGTTCAGTTATGCCCATCACATATTGCATCGAAAAAAGAATCCATCCCGTCCATCTGTTCCGTACCGACGGCAAATCATGCCTTAGAGGGAGAAAATAAAATCAAATGGGGAAGAGAAGAAAATGAAATCCCTACCTCCATGCATATGTGGGACATCAGAAGCTGTCAATCGTACCCTTAGTCCTTTGGAAGTCACCGTTGCTCACTAAAGTACAACAGCATTACGATCTATTTATTTTCAACCGTTAGGAGCGCGTAGAACCACATAACTTACCAGGTAGTGGTTTACTCAATTCCTTTTCAATAGACCAACGCTACATAGAGGAGATACAGGCAAACAACCATGTACTGGTCAACACGAACACACTTTAGAACAACAACGAGCGGACTCGGAGTCACACCTTTGCAAGCATGGCGCAATAACAGCCCACGAGGTTGGAATCAACGACGCAGAAGTAATGGCAGGGGCTTAGACGAACGGGGGANNCGGGGGACGTCTGTTCTTTGAAGCCCTTCATTCGACCAACTCACTCAAGCGCCACGTAGAAAATTCCACCAACCCATGATGAACGCGATGAACAGACAGACGCAAGCATGCACACACACGCACTACCGTTTGGCAATGAGTTCCAGTCTGGATCGAAACGTTACGACGTTACACTCAATGATCACTTCAAGCTTTTCAAAATATGTTCATTTATTTACATATATCCATCCATATATATGATCAGTAGTATCCTAATGAGTAGAAAAAAGTCCTTTGGAAGTGCACGGCCCGTTTTGCGGTTAGTGTCGTCCAACCATTGACGTGTCTTACAGTACATATTTTTGACACAAATTTATAGTCTACATCTCGGAGAGTAAATTTTACGGTTAGTAGCTTTCAATCTACAAAACATCATTCAGCCTCCAGACAATTATACACAAGTGGGTAGCACGAGAACATTATTTCCTCAAAATGTGCTCTCAGGGCTGCAGAGTAGAACGTTGTGTTCAGTATATATATATATATATATATTAAGTAGTATGTGAATGACTGGACAAAATTTCCCTGGAAGCACAACCAGCTTCGCTATTCGTGCCGCTCGTCAGACATGCGTATCCGGTAATCTTTTGTCAGTTACTTCATATACTTGTACCAAGGAAGTGCATTTTCGTCACAATAACCTTATTTGCAACATCGGGTGACTATTGGATGGGCCATTCCACTGAAGAATCAGTGCTATGATTCGCTGTTTTTTTGTAGGTGGGTTAGACGCGGTAGGAACCGCCAAACCGGTCGTGTTACTCCAGGGGAATGTTGTCCAGTCATTCACATACCACCTATTATAAAGACGATCAAGTCCCATTGGTTGCCATTAGTAGCACCTAACCCACCTACAACAAAAGCCATCGAATTATAGCGTTGATTTTTCAATGGACTGGCGCTTAAAAAGCTGTCTATCCAAATGTCACCCGGTGTCGCAAACAAGGTTATTGTAAGGAAAGTATATGTGCGTGTGTGCGTGTGTTCGTATCAACATGCACTTCTGGGGCCTGGGAGACAGCACGACCCAATTTTGGTTGACCAAATTAACTGCAACCAGGCTGAGATCTAAAGCATTTCAGACAAACTGCGGTCATCTCTTTTGGCAACCGTGTCCTCAGAGTACATCGCAAATGAATAATCTTATCTTATGTTCGTCAGACCAATTCAGATCGGAGTCCACTGATGCCTTGTGCGTTTCATGTGAGTTCATATGCGTTCTTAATCCTTCCAAAATGCGTCTTTCATCCCTGGACAGAGCACACCAATCCATGAGTACTTTCACTGCACAACACAGAGCCTCTTATTATAGGTGACTAATCCGCCATTTCGAGCCGTTTAAATACCCTGGTTTCTCGTTCTTTCGGTTCGCAATAGGTCACACTAACTAATAACTAACTTTGCTCATACGATCCACGCGCACCGCCTGAGGGACACATGCGTTCTGACCAATTATTGGATTATTGTTCGCCTCAAAATTATTGTAGCTTTGAGTCCTTGTTCACTCTGACTTTTTCTCCCAATCAGTCAAACATTACAATCAAAAAATAAATATTGTTCGTGCACTAAGACTGTAGCAATTTCACGCCGTTTTCCCCCTCTGTAATCTCTCACAAATAGTGGACTGAAAATGGGGCTTCGAGTTTCTGTATTTTCGCTCAAATTTCTTAGAAAGTAATGGTTGGATATTGTGTCAAATCCCAACAGTACTTCTATCTAATCCGATCTTTACCGAACCCGTCCATCGACTTATTTTGCAATTTCAGCCTACATCGGTGTGATTAAATCAGGCCAGGCATGTTACAGTGTTTCCTCTGCTTATTTGGTCTTTTCGCGCCTTCACTTATTGTTTTTAGTCTCAGTTTGTTCACTGAGAGGCATAAAAGCTCTACCTCTCAGTAACCAGCGAGTAAATACATCCGACCAGCAAGTCAAGCCTCGATATTGTCAAACGGGGATGATTTGAAACTAGTGCAAAGTGTTGCTCGTTTCGCCAACTGCTCGTCACCTAGAGACCATTTGACACTTTTGGCGGAGTTCAGTCAGGACTGTTGCTTGATTAAATGGATTAGCAAAGTAGTGTGTGTGCTCCTTTTGAGATTTGATTGCAGCCCCATCGTTGGAATTGACAGTTTGATATTGAAAAAGCATGATAACACATCCTGGCCATGGGGATGCACCTTTATGCCATTCGGGAAATAAACTGCTTTCAAGATTAAAAGCAGTGAGTCCAGTTTGAAATGAATCAATGACCGAAAGTAAAATAGAAAAAGTCAACGAGTGAAGGTCAAATAGTCTCAGAAAACACGATAGAAACACGGGTAATTTGTGTGTGATATTTTAGTACTCCGAAAACAGTCTGTGTACCCAGAGCTGATTATTTTTTTTTCCGATTTTTCCATTAGGGCATGAACCTTTCACAGCTCATAACAACGATCCGCCAGTCTAAAGTCCAAAAATCGAATTGTGATGATTGCGTAATACACAAACGCAGTAGTTTCATGTGTCTCTCGTTCAAATAAGATGTGTTTGAGGGTCGGAGATTTCGAACTGTCTAGTCGGTCCCTATTTTTGTTCATAAAGTTGTGTCACAGCAAACACAGATAAACTGTTCTGATCACAGACAATTTATTGATTTGGTTTGATCTTCCCTCAGACTTCACACAATAATCAGTCTATTTAATCAGTAATAAAAATAATGATAAAGATTTGCGCTTCTATTTGTTTTTCTGTATACAC